CATTGACCTGAAGGCGGCATTTTACTCTACCATTCGATCTTTGGTGCTACCAACGTGCAACGACGAGGATGACAGATAATATTTTCAACACAACCACGACATCCCAATCGTCTTGCTTCCGATCTTCGAGTTCATCCTCTCACAGCCAGGGGCATTAGCAGAGCTGGAGGACCAGCCACATCTTCTAGCACTCCTGATTGAAGGTCATCGAGACACTCATTTCGGCACGGCGAGGCAGGAATATCAAGATGTGGCAAGGTCCCGCCGGGGATCGAGACCAGGCAGTTCGTTGGTCGATGCGATTTTCAATATCTCTTTTGTCAAACCACTGAAGGCCATCGAAATGGAACTGCGTCAGCATGGTCTATCTCTCGATTTCCACGTCCCTGCTGGCAGTGAGACATTCTCATCTGGATTAGTAGTACCTACGCGTCTGGGCGTTTCCTTTGTTGACGACGGACTATATCTACTCGCGCCACGTTCTACGGGTGAGGCTGTCAACACAGCGGGCATAGCGGTCGACTGCGTCCACAAGCACATGGTCACCCACGGCTTCACTGTGAATTACCAGCGACACAAGAGCAGTGTTATGATCATTCCGGCTGGTTCTGGTGCTCGAGATCTTACCCTTCGCTTGCAAAGCTTTCCTCATGCCGAGATCGTGACGCCAGAATGGCAGGTTGAAGCTCATCTTGTGAGGGACTACAAGTACCTTGGGACCATGGTGGACGAGGAGGCGTCGCTCGGGCCACGGATAGCGCTGGCTACCAGCAAACAGAAGACAGCCTTGGACCCGATTCGAAGGATGACGGCACGCCTGCATCGGTTGTTTCCAGCGGCCAAAGTAAATCTATGCGATGTCCTTGCTAACGTTCATCTTCTATATCTAACTGAAGTTTGGCACGGCATGCGGCAAGCACAGAGGAAGGCCCGAGAGGCTCCTAGGCTTCGTTCGTACCGTACGGCGATTGGGAAGCAACGCCACATCGAGACGAGTGACTACACACTGGACGCCGAGATACTGTGGATGGTAAAGCGCGTCGGAATTGAGCACGTCATCGGAAGGAGGTGGCTCATATACTTTGGAACATCATTCACTACGGCACCGCCAGCGCTGTTCTTTTTGGTCGATATGATTGCATTGCAACATGATTCTTGGACATCCTTACTACTTGAGGATTTTCGTTGGCTGGGCAATTTCAACATCAAAGGTGGAACTGAAGACTGGACTCTACGGCAGTGGTTCGAGTTCGCGTCCGATGCCCCCCACGTGTTCAAGCTACTTGTCAACCGTGTATGGGAACATTGGCTGCCACTCGAGTTCGACCGATTGTCACATCAGGGATGGCTACGTCGAATTGGGCAAGCTCAGCCTGAGCATCCTCTTGAAGCCCCTCAGCTGAAGTATGTTTGTTACACATGTGGCGAGACGGTGATGACTGTTGCAGCATGGCGCCGACATCAACTTGAACACAACCCCATCGACCTGGCACAGAAAGCGGCATGGGGCAACCAATGCGGAGCATGCGGCAAGATATTTGGCAATCGGTCATTGGTGTTTAAACATTTGCGTAAAGTTGGGAACCGATGTCTGCTATGGCTCGAACAACATGCACCTCTACTTGACGAGGCAGAGGCGCACCTTCGAAGGCAGGAAGATCTACTTATTGAACGAGATCAGGCACACAGAGGATATCATAGGCTCAAGGTATTTCAGAAGGTGAGATTTGAATCCATTGATGGAGTTGACGTGCAACATTGGGGAGGGCGAGGGGATCCATACGACCCAATACCACCGCCAACGATCCACGTGGCCATGGGCGACGCTCCTATACGCTTGACAAGAACATCGCTAGGGGCAGTTGATGAAGTTCATATGCTGTACTACAACGATGATATGAGCGAGTGCTGCAACTGGGTGCGCCTTCTCTCCAGCCACCAGGCAGCGGTCCATGTCCAGCATGAGTCTGCAGTAAACGATGATGGTGAGTGTGTTCGATGGTTGATTGGAGCGGCGGAGGTCGACAAGCTGATGAAGAGCATGTCTGAAGGCAAAGTTGCAGGTATAATCGCGTCACCGAAGCTACCTACGTGGAGGCGTACAGTAATACCCTCCAGTCTCACTGAAGTTGAACGGACTGTTCTACGAGACAGGCCACAGTTGTTGGGGGCCAACCTGAGTCGAGCTGGGGATAGAGCAGTGTTGAGATCATTGACGGCACCGCGGGGTGAACCGCGACTACCCCCACGACTACGTGACCAAGTGATTTCTGGCAGCTCTGAGCTACGCTGCTTGCTGCACCTTCTTTTTGGAGCTCACGCTACGGGAGTTCCTATGGCAGTTGTTGCGCCGACGGCTCGTCTGGCTGCGGCTCTTGCAGTGGTGCCAGTACTTCGAGCTGCAGTCCAACAGCGACGGGTACTTCTTCGGCGGGTTCCACAGCCGGCAGTAGGCACGTCTGAGGGCATGTCAATCTTGAGCGCGCACTGCGTTTTCAATTTCGAAAGGGATCTGTCTGGGGCCCCAGTGAACCCCTCCAGGCCCCAAGGGTCGTCGCCTTGGCCGAGGCCGCGATGGCCACATCCATGGCACTTGGGAGGCGGCGCCTATAGCCGCACCTCTGATTCGAGGAGGAGTCTCAGGAGCTGTACTAGCGCACAGAGGTTCGGCCAGGGACCAAGTTGATGGGCTGCAAGCTGTTTTGATACCCATTGCTTCTTGTTCGGTTCTTGAGCATCTCTTGGCCCCTGGTCCCGAGGCCGATGTCCTGCGTTGAGGCGCTTGTACATGCTCTCTTCTGTTGTGCTGGTCTCATCCTATCTTTCTCTCCTCGTTTCATCACCATCCTTTGTACTGCCTCTTCTGCCTGTCCTCACTTGTTTGCATGCTTGCTGTCTTGCGCCATCATGCAGCACCTTGCCCGCCTGTCTGTTTCTCGCTGTTGGTCATGCATGTCTGTCATTTCTCAGACTTTGTGACTATGATCTGCAGCGCCTGCCTGATGGTGCAAGGGCGCCAAGCTCGGCGCGATCTCAGTCTTGCCTTTTCGCTCCCGTCCTGCCATTGGAGGCGGTGAGGTCAGGCGGTTACGTGGAGGTGGTGGAGGAGGTTTCTCGCGCTCCGCTTGTTCTCTTGCAGCATTGTGCGCTTGCCGTTGCTGGAGCTCCAGCAGTGCGAGCGTTTACGCGTCGGCCCGCCGACGCGCGACTGACGCTACGAGCGTGTGCGCTCGGCAGCCTGCGCAAGAAAGGAGGAGGAGGAGGAGGAGGAGGAGGAGGAGGAGGAGGAGGAGGAGGAGGAGGAGGAGGAGTGGCGGGGCCGTGACCTCTCCCGGAGTTCTCATGACACCCTCTGCTTCTTTCCGCGCGCCCCCCCCCCGGGTGGGGCTGTGCGCGCCCCTTTGGGCCACGCGTTGCGACGAGCCTCCTCTGCGACGCCCCCCTCGTGAACCGCTCCTCTGCGCTCCAGGCCTAAGCCGGGCCTGTCCCTCTACAGGAGGAATATTCAAACATGGGCAACCAAAATATTCAGGGGGCGATTAGTTTTACTATGTTTGGATACGTTTGGAGTGTTGTTGGGGTATTTGCAATTTTTCGCCCAAAATCCGCCTGCAGGGGGCACGCCCGACCTACCTCTAGGCCCCCCAGATGGGGTCGGAGAACTGGATCAGTATCCTTTCACCGCTCCCTGTCCCCATGCCCATCCCCACCTCGACCCCATCATCCCACGACCCCAGTTGGGGATCTACCCCTCAAAACCCAAGGGGAACAGCCTCAATACCCATCTAGGGGGGTGAAATCGGCCAGTGGGCCCAGGCCACGCCAGTGGGGATAGGGATCAGTCAAACGATGCTCGATGGAGGGGGTGGATCGCGCCGCATCGCCGGTTCATCGGCGATACGGTTCGAGGAAGAGCCCCGTGTTCTCCACTCCGATGGCGCCGATGCATCGCCGACGTCGCCAATGCATCACCGATGCATTGGCGACGCATCGGCGATGCGGCGCGATCCTCCGAATCCATATGCTGGGACCCCATTCGCGGCGGCGAGCCCGGGGGGGAAGTGAGAGGGAGCAGGCCTTCTCAGAAGGCTCGGCAGGGCCTCGGGCTTTTCGAGAAGTCTCCTGAGCCTTCTCCGAAGACAGGGGCAGCCTCTCAGAAGGCGCGAGGGCCTCTCAGAAGCCCCACCACCGTTGAGAAGGCCTGCCCCTTCCCTCTTACCCCCTGGGCTCGCCGCTGACTTGCACCGCCGACGTCGCCAATGCATCACCGGGTCATTGGCGATGCATCGGCGATGCGACGCGATCTTCCCATAGTGTGGATGGGTAACCTTCCCAAGGGTACCCTTGCGTCCTTGCCTCTCCAGGCCACCCTGAACCACGTTCAATGGCCAGCCCTGTCCGAGAAGCTTCGACATGGGCGTCCAAGGGGCTTGCATCCTCATCGTGCGTCCTTATCATTCTTGACTGGACGCGGAACCCATTGGGGAGGCCTCTATTGCGAAGGCCTCACAGCCGGTGCCGCCGTCCCTGAAGGGGAACAACGATGTCGGTGGCGACGGCGACGACGACGACAGTGACGTGGGTCAGAGTCCTCCTGGATGCCTCTTGGGGTCTCTTCGAAGCGCTCTCGGGGGCCTCTCGGGAACAGTTTTAGGGGCCTCCTGGGAGCCTCTTGGGGGCCTCTTGGGAGCCTCTTGGGGGCTTGCATTCAATCGGGCCTGTCCCTCAACAGGGGGAATCTTCAAACATACATTTAAAAAGTCTGGGAACTATTGTTTTTATATGTATATATACATATATATATATATATATATATATATATTATGTGTGCGTGTGTGTTAACAATGTGTGGGCTGTTGTGGGTTTTTTCATTTGTCCCTCCAAAATCCGCCTGTAGGGGCCCGACCCAAGGCTTGCCTCCGCAGCGTGCGTCCTGTTCGCTTCCCCTGGCCGCCCAGCCCCCCGCGAGACGGCCCCCGCCCCTGCCCGCCCCACCGGAGGCGACGTGGCGCTCTTCGGCTCCCGGGTCACGCGGTGCCTCGGCACCGCGGGCAGCGACAGCGAGGGCAGCGGCCGCGGCTCGGGGTCCGAAGGCCCGCCGGGGCTCTCCGCCGTCGCCGGGGGAGCGTCACCCCGCACCTCGGACGTCGACGACGACAATCACGACGACGACGACGACGACGGCGACGACGGCGACGACGGCGACGACGGTGCCAGCGGCGACGACGACGACGACGGCGGCGGCGATGACCTCGACGGCTGCGGCGACGACCACGGCGACGGCGGCAGCGGCGGCGACGGCCGCGTCCGCGGCGTGGGGCTGGAAGGCCGACCCCTGTTGCGCCCAGCGCGATCGGTCGCAGGCAGGTTGCCAGGATCGGGGGAACCAAAACCCGAATAAGCCTGAACTCGGGCACGGGGAACTCGGGCCAACCCGAGTCGTACGTCTTCCCGACAGGAGGTGACCCTGGCCCTCTTAAGTCACGACGCGAGTTTTGCTTTCGTTGTCCTGGAAAACGAGAAACGGCATAAACAGAAACTTGCGGGGGTCCGCGCTGATTTTTGGATTTGTGTTGGGCGCCCTTGGCGCCGCCCCTGGCGCCGCCCCTGGCGCGTTCCGCGCGCCATGGTTGGGGGACGGCGCCGATCCAAGAAATCGGCGCCGAGCTTCAAAAGTATGTGTTGACGCAGTGAACCTTTATTCCCCACATCCTAACACCAATCACGCAGGATCTCTCCTCCTCTCTCTCCCTCTCTTCCTCACCATTGCCTTCATGAGCATCAACACCGCGATACCATCATCGTAGCCATCATCACCACACAATCATCAGAATTTCTCCCTCACTCAGTCACCCTTTCGCTTGCCACTCACTCACTCACTCCTTCACTTTGCTGATCATCACCATTCCCATCACCACCATCATCCTCACCCCCACAATCGGGCAACCATGCACGCAGCTACATTCTCTCTCGCACTCACATGCTTACGTATTCACTTTGAGGGACGTTTCGAGCGTGAGACCCCTCCTTATGAGTCCCGCAGCATTCCATATTAGTCATCCGCGCGGGTCAATGGAAACCCGTAATTGTCGTCACTGTTGGGCTCCTCAATCTTGAACATGGAGGAAGTATCAAGCCGGAGCCTCGTCTATGTCATAGACAATTCACTCATAGACTCTATGAGTGAATTGTGAGGAAGTCTCAGGCGGGAGCCCCTCCCGTATGAGGTCCGCATTTCGTGTTCGTAATTCGAGTGTGTCATCAGAAATCCGTAATTGTCGTCACTGTTGGGCGCCTCAGTCTTGAATACGGACGACGTACCAAGCGGGAGTCTCGTCGATGAGTGAATTGTGAGGACGTCTCAGGCGTGAACCATTCTTTATGGGGTCCGCGCTTCATGTTGGTAGCCCGAGCGGGTCATCGGATACATTTGATGTGTCTTTACTTTTCGGTTCCGCGGGCCTGAATATGGAGGAAGTATCAGATTTGAGTTTCGCTTGTGAGGGAATAGCGAGGAAGTCTCAGGCGGGAGCCCCCTCCCTATGGGATCCGCATGTCATCTTGTCAATCCGAGCTGGTCCATCGGATTGGAGTTTCGCTTGTGAGGGAATACCGAGGAAGTCTCAGGCGGGACGCCCATCCATATGGGGTCCGCATTTCATCTTATCATTCCGAGCGGGTCATCGGAGACCTGTTGTTGTCTGGATTTTGGGGCGCCTGAGACCTGAACATGGAGGAAGCCTCAGGCGGGAGCTTTGTCTGTGGGTGTATGGCAAGAGCGGCTCAAGCGCGAACCCCCTCCCTATGGGGTTCGCATTTGCAACCCGAGCTGGCCATCCAAAGCTTGCAGCTATCGTTTATAGTCGGTTCCTTTGGATTGAATATGGAGGAAATCTCAGGCGTCGTCTGTGCAGGGATTGTGAGGAAGTCTCAGGCGGGACCCCCCCACAATGGGGCCCGCATTTCGCATTCGTAATCCGAGCGGATCATCGGCAACCAAGAAAGGTCGTCGTTTTCCGGCTCCTCTGGATTGGATGCGGAGGAAGTCTCTGGCGGGAGCCCCGTACCTATGGGGTCTGCATTTCATGTTGGTAATCCGAACGGATCATCGGAAACTTAAAACAGTTGTAATGTGTCTGCTCCTATGGGTTTAATTTGAAGGACGCCTTAGGCGGAAACTTCGTCGGTTAGGAAGTTGCGAGGAGGTCTCAGTCCAGAGCCCCCTCCCTATGGGATCCGAATTTCCTGCCTGTATTCCGAGCGTCCTTTTTCGGCTCCATTGGATTGGATGTGGTGGAAGTCTCACTCGGGGGCTCCGTGTGTGAGTGGATATCGAGGAAGTCTCATGCGGGAGCCCACCCCCCAATGGGGCCCGCATTTCACGTTTGTAATCCGAGCGGGTCATCGGCAAACTTTGCCAGGCATGGCATTTGAGCACCCGAAGGACATTGCACGAGGCGTTCGTCACGCGGCCGTGAGTGAGTTGCAAGGAAGTCTCAGGCGGGAATGCCCTGCTCAAGGAGTTCGACAAGAGAACGGTGGATTCCAAGGCTGGAAAGGACCAGCTCGTGGCAGAGCTGAACTTCGTGCCACCTCCCGCCTGAGCACGGCCGCGACTAGTTCGGTACCTGCGGGGTTGTCCCAAGGGCTTGCTCCCGCGACCCAGCGGTTCGCGGTGTAGTCCCAACGGCCATTGCCCCGACGGTTTCGCGGTTTTGCCATCGGAGAGCGCTCCCCTGCCGGGAGCGGCGGCGAGCGCGCCGAGGAAAATCGGCATGCGCCCCCTTTTGCCAGGAGGAAGGAGAGGTGCATGATGAGAACGGGCGGGATGGATATGGGGGGGCGGGGGAGGAGGAGGAGGAGGAAGAGGAGGAAAACAAAGAGGAGGAGGAGGAGGAGGAAATGGACGAGGAGGAAGAGGAGAAAGTGAACAAGGGGGGCGAGCAGGAGGAGGAGACGGAGGACGAGGAAAACAAGGCGGATGACGAGGGGGCGCAAGACAGGCCGATGCAGGGAATTTCGGTTCGGGTGAAGAGGAAAGAGCGAGGGGCAACCTAAATAGATTATCGTGCGGGGTCTTGCCTTCGGACTAATTCTAGCTTCGTTTTTGGCCGTTTTCGCCCTCCGCGGGTCCCACCAGGTCCCGTGCCGTCGACAAAAAAACTCGGGATGCAACGCCGGTCCCGAGGGAGGGGCCTAGACCTTCTGGGGGCCCACGCGGCCTTGGCCCGAGGTGCCCCCCAGCTTTTTAATGCCGACGCTGGAGCAGGCGAGCATGTCGCCAGTTTGGCGTCTTGACGCGTAGTGCTCGACTATGTTGCACTACGGCGCGTCGGGGGCCGCAGCGCAGACCATACAAAAACCCACGCCTGATGTCCTGGATACGCTTAGTCTCCGGGTGCCGTAATTGTGGTGGCGTCGCTTGTTTTCTGGTCCAAGTGCCATAATCGCAGCAGGTCTGTGAAGAAAACGCGCGTGTGGTTCACACGGGCGCGTCTGTGTAGCATGCTGCCTGGAACCGCTGCCTTCGCCCTGGCTGGTCTGTTTTGGGGGCGCGATGGTTTTATCCTGGACCGTTTGGAACACCCGCGGTCCTTCGGGTCACGTGAAGTTTGCCGCCGGGGCCGGGCTTCCCTCGGCGGCGAGCGAGGGGGGCAATGAGAATCAAACAGTGGCGCGTCGTCTGGGCTTGCGTATGGGCCCACCAAGAAAGTTCTAATAACCTTTTGCGGCGTGCGCGAAAAATATTCGATCCTCGTTGGTTGGGGTTGTTTTGTTTGAACAAGTCGGTTCTGCGTTCTACGAGCATGGTTCCCCACATCCCAAGCGGGGCTGTTGTTGTTTTATCCGCCCCCCTCCCCGCAGGACGTCGTCCCACCTCCCCCCCTTCATTTCCATTTCACCAGCGTCACCGTCACCATCGCCATAATTAGCCACATTCGCTGGCACACGCATCGCGGGACCACCAAACACTATCACCATCATCATATGCACATCACCAACAGCATCATCAGCATCATGGTCGTCATCATCATCACGATTCACTATTACCAATCAATCACCATTCGCCGTCATTCACCATCCATATCACTATCATCACACATTCAACAGTATCGCCATCCCATCGTGCTCATCGACCAAGAGGGGGTTTCGCTTGTAAGCTGCGTTTGAGGATGTCTCAAGCGGGAGCCTCTTTTCCATGGGGTCCACATATCACGTTGGTAGATTGAATGGGTCATCAGGAACCTGTAACTTTTCGGCGCCTTTTCGATTGAGGATGGAGGAAGTCTCGGGCGGGAACTTCGTCTGTAAGTGCACTGCGAGGAAGTCTCAAGCGAGAGCCCCCTCCCCCTCCCTATGGGGTCCGCAGCTCATGTTGGAAATCTGGGCGGGTCATCGGAACTTTGAAATTGTACCATGTTTCGCCTCTTCTGGACTGGCTACGGGAGGAATCTCAGGTCAGGCGGAAGCTTCGTCTGTGAGTAAATTGCGAGGAAGTCTCAGGCGGGAACCCCCGCCCAGTGGATTCCGCAGCTCATGTTGGTAATCCGAGCGGGTCATCGGGAATTTGTAAGTGTAGGCATTTTTCGGCTCCTCTGGACTGGATGCGCAGGAAGTCTCAGGAGGGAGTTTCGTCTTTGCGCGAGTTGCAAGGAACGCTCAGGCTGGAGCCCCCTCCCCATGGGGTCCGCACCTCATGTTGGTAATCCGAACGGGGCACTGGAAACCTGTAAGGGTAGTCTTTTTTCGGCTCCGCTAGACTGAGGAAGTCTCTGGCGGGAGCTTCGTCTGTGAGTGAATTGCGAGGCAGTCTCAGGCGGAAGCCTCCTCTCTTTGGAGTATATCATGTCGGTGATCCGAGCGGGTTATTGTAATTTGTTGTTTTGATTGAGTATGGAGAAAGTCTCCGGCGGGAGCTTCGTCGGTTGGTGGGTCGCGAGGAAGTCTCACGCGGAAGCCCGCTCCCTATGGGTTCCGCAGCTCATGTTCGTAATCCGAGCGGGTCATCGGAAACTTGTCAGTGTAGTTTTTTTTCGGCTCCTCTGGAATCAATCTGCAGGAAGTCTCAGGAGGGAGCGTCGTCTGTGCTTGA